CTTCTTTTTTGAGTCTGCTTTTTGCTCTAGCAGATCAGTGGTGACAATTTTGTCTTCGATTTCACTGATTCTGTGTTCCATCTCATCAACTCTGCTCTGCAGAAATCTTTAAAGGCATGAGGAGTCTTTAAAATTATTCTGATTCTCATAACAGATCATGCACGAGTTAAAACATGCCTGACACACACTGTCCTGATTCCATGCTGCTTCCCACAAGAGTGGGATTTTGTTTTTCTGGGGTTTTTTTCAATGCTGTTCTGTCCGATAAAGTTTTTTCCTCCCCCAAAGCTGACCCTCTGTAAGGTTTCCCAGGCTGTAAATCATACAGGAGGTTGCCTGGCTTGCTCCTGGGAGCTGCTAGTGGGTTCGAAACACCAGAGAGGGTTAGTAGTGCGCCCCCTACAGACTGCCCCCCAGAGCTCCCTCAAGTGGAGCAGCACAATGAAAGGTCAGCCGTGCCTGAGTTCTAATTCTAGTTCTCTGGTAACAGAATCAAAGCATGCTCCTGTAGATCTTTAATTAGAATAACAATTTAAATTTGACAAAGGAAAAGTAGAAACTTTACCTAAAACATGCCTGCACTTAACACCAGCAATAGGAAACCTTAAAAATGTAACATATTTTAAATATAGTGATCTTATGAGGCAGGGGGGTATAGTTCTTAGGTCACTTTCTTATCCACAGGAAAGACCATGGCCACAGCATTTTTCATAACAATATGAGTGCACTTAATAGCAAAAAGGTCATGAAAATGTGAGTCCTTTCTTCACCACCGTTGTCAGTTCTGGGCCCCCTGGAACAGCAGAGTTGAAGCTCAAGGACAGGTTGGGAATTTCCTTAACCTGTTGGCAGCAGTCACCACGTAGAAATGTTTCTGGAGAGGAAAAAGAAAAGGAAAAGTGTATTTGGACATCAGTTGCTTTCTGGAGAGAAAAAAAAGGAAAAGTATATTTGGACATCAATTGTTTTAAGAAGAAATATGTCCAGCCTCCTAAATTTGTGGCCAGAACTAAAGGAAAAAGTTTCTAGAATAATTCCAGTAGACCAGTCCTGAAGTTTTCAGGGGCATAAATGGAGCACATATGAAGCAAAGATGATCTGCTATCCTGCCCTTTTGATATGAAAAGTAGATCATCCTTGCACACACATGTTTTTCACAATAGTAAGGAATTGGAAACAACCTAAGTGCCCATCAACAAACGAGTGGATAGGGAAGCTGTGGTATATTCACACAATGGAATACTATGCTGCATTGAAAAACAAGGAACTCATGAAATATGCAAAATGGGTGGCCCTGGAGTACATTATGCTGAGTGAAATATCTCTGACACAAACGGACAAATACTGCATAGTGCCATTGTTGTAAAACGGGACTGACATCGGAGTTGAGAGAAGACTGAGATAGATGGAATAAATTATGTATACTGCATTGAAACAGATGAGGGAGAGAACTGTTTAAAAGGGATATTATGGTTAAGTATTGTCATGACAGGAGTCCAGGATGAAGGCTGCTGCATAGTAGAGTGGACTTGGGAAGGATTGTATAACAATGAAAGAATTTTTCTTTTCAAAGAGAAGAGCGAACTGGGAGGGGAAGTTGGGCAGGGAGAAAAGTGTAACAATGAATGAATGGAAATCCAAAGTCTAAATTTTCATTAAAATTAATAAAAAAATTTTTAAAAGAGCATCCTATAATACTCAAATTGTTGTTCACAATCTGGGACCAGATCATGAAGTCAGATTGGTGGGTTGGGATCAGCATTTTTTAAAAAAATTAATCCACGGTTCGAATCCACCAGATGCTCTGCCAGGGAAGGAGGGACAATCTCCTCCTATACCAGTCAGATCTGATTTGATGGTACACGCACACAAAAATAAAAAAATAATTAAAAAAAAATTAATCCAAATGATACAGAATTGAAAATATACTCTGATAGGGGAATTGTTAAGAAATTCTTATTTTATGTATATGTTGTGAGGTGCTATCAAGTTGAGTATTACTCAGAGCAACCCTGTGAAGAACAGATCTGAACCCTATCCTATCCTGTCGCACCTTTATTATCCCTGACACATTTGAGCCCGTTCCCACAGACATTGTCTAGTTGCTAATAGTTGTTTACAGCTGTTTCCCCTCATTTTTTAATAAACTTTTCTCTGCGGTTCTACCTCCAGTACCATGTCTAACAGTGTTCCTCTGAATTGTTCATAGGGTTTTCAAAAGCTGGTTATTTCGGAGGTGGATGGCCAATCTGGTCTGTCTGCATCTTGAAGCTCCGCTGAAACCTATCTACCCTGTGTGGTTCACAAGTTTTCAAATACTGGTAGTACAGCTTCCAGCATTGCATCAGCTAGCAAGCTGCCTCAGTACTGACAGACAGGTTACTGAATTCATAAGAGCAAACTAGGCACAAGATACACAATATGTGTCCGTGCAAATGTGTGTGTGCATACCAGCTTCCCAGGCATTGTCTCGGTTTTATTTACTACTGAGGATTTGAATCGGTATCAAAAGGTTGGAAAGCTACTTCTCAGAAGAAAGATTTCTGGCAAGAAAGGTTAATGTTCAAGTATTGCTATAAAAGAGAAAAACTTATATAAAGTTCAATAGTGCTTTGGCACCTCTGTTACAGGAATGTGGAAGAACCAGGCCTAAAATTACATACACTAGTTTCAAGAGCTTGCTTAAAATTGCTATAGAGACTGTATGCTCAAAATTCACCATGTCGCTGCAAGTATTCTGTTATAAATGAGAAAAAAAGCTTATAAAGTTCAATAGTGCTTTCCCACCTCTGTTACAGGGAAGTGGAAGAACCAGGCCTAAAATTACATACAGTAATTCCAAGAGCTTGGTTAAAATTGCTGTGGAGAAAATATGCTCTAAATTTACCATAGCGCTCCCAGTGTCCAGGATAAATTCTAACGCTATGCCACTGTTAAACCGTGGACAGGATGGACTGACACAGTGTAACAATGGAGCTTAAGCATGTTGGCAATTGTTAGGATGGTGAGGGATGTAGAGTAAGGTTCAGATGTTCATGGGGTGAGTCTAATGGACTGGACAGCATATAACATCAACCCCTCCACCTGTAATGACCTTGTTTAGAAATAGGGTTTCTTTTCTGTTAATGAAAGAGGTGGGCCCTAATAGAATCTCTTACAGTAATATCTGAATAGACAGATGGGGAAGAAGTCACCTTGAGAGATCCTCAAAAGCTAAATAAAGAATGTCAAGGAACACCGAAATTATAGGGAGTGACCCTGCCCAGAGCGGATGATCCAGTTTAGACTTCGCACCTACTAAAATGCTAGACTATACATTTTTGTTCTTTAAAAATGCTGACTGGTGGTGTTTGTGTTACATAGCACTAGGTAATAATAACTTTCCCTAAATAATCTTTCCATTTAAAATCTGAGTCAAAATTTGGCTACAATTCTGTCAAAGGATATATTAAAACAATTGTTGGGGTTGTTTTGGGGTTCTTTTTTGCTAAAAAAAAAAAAAAGCATTATACCTTCCATTTCCTTTGAGCTGTATATTTTTGCAGTAATAGTTGAGATTTGAGACGAATGTTGGATCTTGAAGCCTTGGCAGCCAAGTTATTCAACCATTCGTGTTTCAGACACTGTGTGGCACTCATTCTGCAGCTGTGAAGTCAAACAGCAGTTGAGACTCAGTTGAGGCTGTTTTTTCTAGTTTCAAAGTCTGTGCAACTAGGCTGAGTCAGGAGCAGATGAATCATTGAGGCAGATTGATGTCATGCATAAAATAGGAAATGCCCTGTGCCTAAAATTCCTCAGAGAAAGCCCTCAGCAAAATGTTAGCTGTGTTTTACAGAGGGGTGTGTATCACTGATTCCTCACCACTCCTAAAGCACTGGAAGCTGAGGCAGAGGAGTGAAGAAGTCAAGCCACGTGAAACTTGAATTAACTCACTTCTCCTTTCAGAGAGTAATGCCAGCTTGCTCTTCCCCATTAGAAGTATTTTTTTCTTTCACATAACTTTTCACAATCAGAAGCAAAACCATAAAAGGGAACTGTCTCTTGGGTTCACTCCTAGCTCCCTTACAACGAAACAAAACCATTGCAGTGGTCAGAAGTCATTGAGTCAGAACTGACTCATAACTGGCCTACCAGCAGGTTTTCAGAGGTGATAAACCAAATGAGAGGAGACTGTCCATCTGTCTCCCACAGAGCAGCTGGTGGATTCAAACCATGTGCCTTCAGTATTGCCATGCAGCTTCTTACCAGTAGGCCGCCAGTGCTCCCTGATATTGCTGCTCCTCAGTAATTTGGAGAGGTCCCTGATGAGATTTGTTTTAAAGGTATAAGACTTACCTGTCAGTTTGTTGGAATGGGGGAGTGATCTGCATATTGCTAATTACTTTATACCTTGAGGATATCTTTGCTTGTTTATCATTGTTCTTATTAATAGAGCGCTTGTCTGTCAATTTTCTGTACTGAGGTAACTTGTGGGTTGCTGTAATGCTGAAGGCTATGCCACTGTTTTGTCAAATGCCAGAAGGGTCACCCACAGTGGACAGGTTTTAATAGAGCGCCCAGATTAAGACAGTTTAGGAAACAGGATTAGATATTCAACTCTTCAGTAGCAGCCCTCCGAAAACTCTATGAACAATAAAGAAACATGGATAGTTACAGTATTAGAGGTAGAGCCCAGATTAGAAGTCAATCAAAATGAAGAGCTGCTCTAGAATGTAGAAAAGCTAAAGTGAAAGGAAGAAAGGAGGAATTAGGATAATGGAACAGAAGATTTCAAAGGGCAGTTCAAGAAGACAGAAGTATAGTATAAATGAAATGTGCAAAAATAGGGAGTTAGAAAATGGAAAGAATGTGCTCGGTATTGCTCAAGATGAAAAAATAATTAGTAGAAATTGAAGCCTTGAGTTGCAGTACTGGAGAATTCTATGAACAGGAAGCATCAAAAGTAAATAAAAGACTAAAAAAGATGAATTGACGCATTGCCTGTCACAGTGGGCTCAAGTATGTTAGAGATGGTGAGGGTGGCTCACGATGGGGCAGGATTCAGATCTGTTGTTCATAGGATCACTGTGAGTTGCTGTTGACTCTACAGCACATAACAACATACCAAAAATAACTGGCCAACACAAAATCATTTCAGCAATAGCATGCACGGGCAAGAAACAACTGCACTGAAGGAAGAAGGAAGTCCACACTGCAGTGACATCACTGGCAAAAAATAAGGCCCTAGAAATTTACAGACACCAAGGATTTCAAGAAACAAGCCTTGGATCTTTGGAAGATGGGTACCTGGCCAACGCACTGCAAGAGACTAATGTCTGTGCCCATTAGAAAGAAAATGCAACAGAATGAGGACATTATCAAACTTTATCATTACATGCAAGTAAGACCTCATGGATAATCATTTAAAAGAACTACCAGAAGTTCAAGCCAGATTCTGAAGAGAAAGAACATAGAATGAGGGATATCACTGGTTATGTCACCAAAAGCAGAGGATATCTGAAAGATGTTTACTTCTGCGTTACTGACTGTGCAAAGGCATTGTGTGGATCATGGCAAATTAAGGATAACACTGAGAAGATTGGGAATTCCAGGGTCCTTAATTATACTCGTGTGGGTCCTGTGCATAAACCAAGAAGCAGTTATTGGAACAAATGAAGGGGAAACGGCATGGTTTAAAATCAGGAAAAGTGTCTATGTAGGTTCTATCTTTTCACCTTATTATTCAGTCTGTATGCTCAACAAATAATACGAGAAGCAGAACTAGATGAAAAAGAATAAAATCAGGGTAGGTATAAGGCTCACAGATATTGTGTGCAAATAGCATAACCTTGATTGCTGGAAGAGAAGACTTGAAACACTGATGAAGACTACAATCTGCAGTATGAATTATCTGTTAACATAAAGAAAGCAAACAATAGAACAAATAAGAAAAATCTGAAGTTGTCAAGGATTTTGTTTTATTTGGATCCACAACCAATGTCCATGGAGGCAGCAGTCAAAGCAAATGACATCACTTTGAGAACCACATTGTTCCTGATCCAAGCCATGGTATTTTTAATTGTCTCACATGCATGTAAAAGCTGGACAAGGAATAAGGCCGAAATAAAACTGCTACCTTTGCATTTTAGTGTTGGTGAAATCTATTGATTATACCATAGTAAAAAACTGCACTGCCATCCCAAATGCACAGTTTGAGTCCACCATTGCTCTGCAGGAGAAGGATGGCCAATTCTTTCCATGTGATTTAATTTCTCTGAAAGCCCGGTGAAGAGTCAGCCATGCGTCAGTTTGAGTCGATGGCACAGAACAACAATCATCACCAAAAGAAAAATGAAATCTATCTCTGAAAAGTATCAGTGTCATTGATTTCACATGCAAGCAAGATTCTACTGAAGATTATCCAAAAACGATTAGAACAGCCCATCAGCAGAGAACTGCCGGAAGTCCAGGCTGGGTTTAGAAGGGGTCGTGGTACTAGGGATATTGTTGCTGATGTTAGATGGAT